CAGAACCAGGGATTGAACTCAGGCCCTTGAGCTTGCCAGGGAAGTGCTTATTCTACTGAGCCATCTCCCTGGCCCCAGCAAAGCCCTACTTTTTTAAAAAAAAAGTAGATTCAGTTCAATCAGATTGATTTTTGGAAAAAAGTTATGATCTATTAAATTAGTTGATAAAAATATTGGCAAATTATATGGAGTGTTAATTTGAAACAAATTTTTATAAAGCTGCTTATGTAACTATTTTTGTTCTGTTTTACCATTTTCTGGTATTTTTCATTCTTTTGTGTATATCCAAATTCTTGATTGTCATTTTCCTTCTACTTGAAGGACTTCCTTTTACATTTCTTATAGTGTAGGTCTGATTGTGACAAAGTCCTCTAGCTTCTAAATGTTTGAGAAAGCTTTCATTTCATCTTCGTTTTTGAAAGATATTTTTGCTGGGTATAGAATTCTAGGTTGAATTAAACAGTTATTTTTCTCTAATACTTTTAAGCTGTTGCTCTACTGTCTTCTAGTTCTCTCTTCTCCCTACTACTTTTTTGAGAAATTTATGTTTCTTGTCTTTGCTTCTCTGGTATCTTTATTGTTGTTATTTTGTTTTGTTTTGTTTTGTTTTTTGAGTAAGGGTTTCTCTGCATTTCAGGCTGGCCTCAAAATCACTGTGTAGCTGAGACCTCAAACTCTTGATGATCCTCCTGCTTCAGTTTCCCAAGTGGTGGGATTACAGGTGTGTCCCCACCCCCCACCCCATGCCCAGTGCTGTTTAAAGTATCTTTCCTATGGTTTGTTTCAAGGTTTTTCTCTTGTTTATTGTTTTAAGAATTTTTAGTAAGATGTCCTTCAGCTAATATTTTTCCTATTTCTTGTGTTTGGGGCTCCCTGCACATTTTGCACTTGTACATTTGTGGCTTTCCCTAACTTTGGAAATGTGTCATTTATTTCTTCAGACTTTTTTCTATCCATCTTTGAACTCCTTTTATCAGAGACTCTAGTTACATGGTTATTAGACTGTTTGGAACTGTTTCACAGCTCACTGATGTTTTATTCTTAGTTTTAAGGCTTTTTTTCTCTGTATCAAAATGGTTACTTCTATTTCTTCAAGTTTACTAGTCTTCTAAAGTTATCTAACCCGCTTTGATAAACCTCACTAATTTATGGAAAATAGATATATTGGAGAAAATATAGCAGATATAACATTTTTTACTTAATTACCTTAAAGTTCTACTTATGCAGTGTGAATTTTTTTTCCCCTAGAGAAAGACTACATTTCTCTCTATGTGATATTGGGTAATTCTGTGGGCTTTCATGGCTAGGCGGTTGGCACCGTAATTCACCTTGTCTCTAAGGTCTGTTAGGACATCTTGGCACCTCATCTCCCAACCCCCATGTCTCTCAGCACATCCTTTAATTGTGCACCCAAAAGAGATTTTAGTCCTATCTGCTTATTCCTATTTTTTGCCACTGTTCTCTACACCACTGTCATTTCTTGCTTGAATGACAGCACTGATCTCAATAGTTTTTTCTGCTCCTTTCCACTTTTGTTCTCTCTTTGATCTGTTTTCCCTGGAGCACTGACAATAAGTTTTAAAAGATAATCATATCACATCTCTTCTTCTTAAAGCTCTCCCATTAGTTTCCAATTTATTGCATTTTTGAGTGAACCCCAAATTCTTTACTGGACCTTTAAGAATTTTGGTCCCTGCTTGTCTGCCTGTCATCACCTTGGCCTAGTTTTTTTTTTTTTTTTTTTTTTTTTTTTTAGAATTGGGGTGAACTCAGGCCCTTGCACTTGCCAGGGAAGTGCTTTTTCTACCTGTATTATGTATACTTAAAATGTAGTTTTATCTTTCTTTGAGCTTTATTTTTTTTTTTTTTTTTTTTTTTTTTTTTCTGTCTTGCTTTTTCTAAAATTGACCACAACTCAGGAAAAGGTTATATTTTACTTGCAATTTAGTGCAAGGGAGAATATATAGTCATCCCTCAGTATCTGTGGGAGAGTGTGTGCAAGACCTTCTTCTTGCCCACAAATCCCAAAGTCTGCGGATGCTTGAGTCCTTATTTATATAATGGCATTTTTTGCCTAGAGTCAATGTATATATCCTCTTGTATGCTTTAAATCACCTATAGATCATTTATAATGCTTCATACAGTGTTTTTAAATATGTGGATACAGTTTGTCAAGAGTATTGGTTTTATTTAAAATAACTCAAAATACAAAAAAATAAAATATATATATATATATATATATATATATTTTTTTTTTTTCCTCTCTCTTTTCAGTACATAGGAAGAGTTTTCCCCCAAATGTTGTCTCTCTGTGTGGTTGAGTCTGTGGGTGCAGAACCTACAGAAGCAGAGGGCTGGCTAAATACTACACTAAATTGATCCTGAAGTATCTGAAATCATGATGCATCAGGCAGATATAGAAATAGAACATATCATGGTTTAATTGACAGCACCTTTCCTTTGTTAAATATAATGCAATGTGATGTGATTGGCCAGTCCAATTTGTTGGGTTATATTATGTAAAGAAAACTTCCTAAGACAGTGTTCCTACCCCAGGCACACTCTGATGTCGTCTGTCTTATTATTCTGTTTTTTGGGGTATAACCAGTAAGAAACTTCACTTGTCACGCTTGTTATGGGGTCAGTCTGAAGTTTAAGAACTCATGCTCTAGCCGCTCAGGTGTATTTCTGTTCACGAAATATGCCAAACCATTTCTTACCTCAGGGGCTTTACTGGTGGTGCTCCTTCTGTCCTTTCCTATTGTGTGTGTGTGTGTGTCTGGTGCTTTCTTGTCCTATAGGTTTCAGATTAAATGTTACTCCCTCAACGAAGCACTCCTTCACTACTTCTATCTACTGTTATCTTTCTTACTGACCCTTCCTTGTGTATTTCACAGCATTATTTCCAGTCTGTGATCAGACATTTGTTTTCTGTCTTCCATCACCCAAATGCAGGTGTTGGCCCCTTGTATCAATTTCCTACTAGTGTCAGGCATATCATATGCATTCAAAAGTTTTTGTCAACTGAACCAGTATTGCTATATTGGGACAGCTTTGCCTCAGAGAAAGCCTGTTTATTTACTTTGAAGGCAGTGTGGGGTTTTCTGAACCTCTCATGGTGATGGTGATTGAATCCAGGGCCTCATGCATGTTAGGCAAACATTCTACCACTCAGCTGCATCCCCAGCACTTTGTTTTCAGACAGTCTCTCTAAATTGCCCAGATTAGACTGGGCATGGTGACGCGTACCTGTAATCCCAGCTCTTGGGAGGCTGTAAACAGGCCGATCATTAAGAGTCTGATGTAGTAGTGAAACCCTGAACACCCTGTAGACCCTTCCCTAAAATACAAAAAAAAAAAAAAATTAATCTTACTAAATTGCCCAGATTGTCCTAGAACTTGTGATTTTCTTGCCTCAGTCTCAAGAGTATCTGGGATCACAGATGTGTGTCACTGTGCCCAGCACTAACTTTTGATTGAAAAACAAAAACAAAATATGACTATACTTTTTCCTGTCTGTTATCCTGTATGTGTCTGCGTGTTTCTCTGTCTCTGTCTCTGTCTCTGTGTGTGTGTGTGTGTGTGTGTGTGTGTGTGTGTGTGTTTAACAGGCTAGAGAAGAGTCATTGGGAGGCAAGAGGGAAAGTTACTCATCTTTCAGCATGGGGAGTAGGACAAGTGAAGGACAGTAGAAACTTTGTCCTTTATTACTTTTCCCCTTTTCTCCCAGAGGTCCCAAGGTGTTAATATGCATGCTAGAAGATGATTGCACAGGATATGCATGTGTGGTCTAGATAGTTGATTGTTATTAGCACAGCATCATGTATTCTGGTGGCTTATTTTTAATGCTGAGAAGGACTTGATTAATTGGTTCTTTGCAAAACAGATGCTGGGGCTGCTGTTGGATTTCTGAGCAAGTTGCTGTTCTCTATATTTGACCCTTACCTTATACAGCTATACTCTACCCTGTGAAAATTTATTATCAACTTCTTACCTTTTAGGCACATAGAGATGAAATCCAGCGCAAATTTGATGCCCTTCGTAACAGCTGTACTGTGAGTATTAATTAACCAAAGATGAATGAAATATCGGGGGACTGAAACAGGGATGTAAAAAAGGATCTCTTTATAAAATCAGTGTGTGAATTTTTGATATGAGCTTGCAATTTGAAGCAGATAATGCAGTCAAACTTATGTGGAGGTTATTGAGCCCTAGATAATATTTTTCAGGGTATAAGAAATAAAACCATTTTCATGTTGGGAAAAAGATAATCAAGATGGTGAAAATAACTCAGATTGTAGTACCACTACAAGATTTCAGCAGTTGTAGTCCCCCTACCCCAACCCACCCCGCCGTAGCTCCTCCTTCTTCCCCAGTGCAGAAGGTCCAGGTACCAGAGACAGTGCCATCTTCAGGGCTTCTTCAGCCTGTGTTCTGCCCACAGGAGAGACCAATTAGTTCTGTGGACTTAGACATTTTAACTTCCCAGCAGATGAAGTTTGGCTTCCTAACATTCAAATTCAAAATCTAGGACCCTTTGGGTAATGTTACTTATACTGAGATGTAAATTCTGTTAGCAGGTAATCATAGGTTATATAATAGGGTAGAGTCAATGAAAATGCAAAGTCTATTTTTGATCAAAATGAAAGACTGATATAGGCCCTTTTCAGAAGATGAAGATGTTATCCTTATCATGCTTCCAGCTCTTTTCTTTGATTTTTTCCTCATTTTATTACTTTGTGGTCCTCAGTGATATTGTACTTTTTTGTACTATTTGCATCTGGGAGTCTCCAGAAATATCTCCCATCTATAGTTTATTTTTTCATAGTGAACTCTTTATTTCCTTGTTAGTTACTATAACCAGGACTTTAAATCCTAATAGTACATGTTTTTATTCTCTGTTTAGGTATAAAATGCATCAAGCACACTAATCTTAAGTGTCTCATGCTCTACCGACTGAGCTAGCTGGGCACCTAAGCACACTAATCTTAAATATACAGCCTAATGAAATTTTTGCATCCACAGACAGCTGTGTAACTACAATACAGATTAACATGTAGAATGTTTCCAGCCCCCAGGAGGCTCCCGCATGTCCCCTTCTCTAGCGTCCTTTACCCAGCGTGTTACTCCATTCTGATCCCTGATATCATGAGTTGTTTTTGTTTTTTTTTTTTTAAGTGGGAATTGAACTCAGAACCTTGAACTTGCCAGGCAGGCGCTGTGCCTATGAGTTATATTCCTGGCCTCCGTGCATTGGTTTTGCCTGGTTTTGAACTTCATGTAAATAGAATCAGAAAAGATGTGCTGCTGGGGATGTAGCCTTTTTTTTTTTTTTTTCTTAAATTGTCTTTGATGCCCCTTCATTTTGTTGCATTTCTAAATAATTTTTTCTCATTCATTATTGTGTAGTATGTCTACTGTATGAATAGAACTTTAGTACATTTATCAGGTTTCCCATCGATGAGCGTCTGTATTTCCGGATGTAATGGTTACATCCGAATAGACCTGTTGGTTTCCTCTGTCTCTCTTCCTTTGAGGAGTTGGTGGATTGTGTTTCTGTATACATCAGCCTAGTTTTTTTAGTTTCTTATTGTCTTGGTTTCTTTTATACCAGTTGTTTGTTTATATTACATATAGGCTTGTGAATGATCACTGAGTAAAATAAAGATCTTTTTTTTGAACCAGGGACTGAACTCAGGCCCTTGCGCTTGCCAGGGAAGCACTTATTCCACTGAGCCATCTCCCTGGCCCTAAAGATAATTTTTTAACTGTGATTCTTTTCTATTATTAATTTTAACTTGGGAACTTTCAAAATGTGTTCATCAATAATTCTGATGAAATTTTCTAAAACGTCTTTTTTTTTTTTTAGCTTTTTAGCATAAGAAGAAATTTAAGGAACTTTTTTTGTAGTTTTATGAAGGTATAATTGGTATATAATAATCGTTTGTGTTTTAGAATGTATTCATCTGTGAAATCACAATAATAAAATAATGAACAT